GGTTATTTGGTAAAATTTATATAAGTACCAAACACTTCGGGCAATGAATCTCTCTCTCTCTCTCTCTCTCTCTCTCTCCTATCTGCCACTGACTCTCTTCTCTATATGATTGTGTGACTACTTGACTGAATGTGCGGACAACTGTGCGGACAACTGTGCGGACAACTGTGCTGTGCCTTCACTGTTGGTGTGGTGTTGCATACCTTCAGGTGCTGTTAATGTAATCGACATAACGGCCACACTTTCCTTTTACATCGATTTAATATTACAAAACTTTTACTCACATCTGGAAAACGCCGATATATTAGAGTTTTTCTCCATCATTAGAATTATGCGATTATTCAAATTGACCCGACATTCGGCGGGTCTTAAGATTTTAATACAGACTTTCAAAGCGAGTGCCGGAGAATTGATTTTATTAGTGTTTTTTCTGGTGCTCGGAATTGTGATCTTCGCCAGTCTTGTGTATTATGCGGAACGCATACAATCAAACCCAGACAATGACTTCAACTCAATACCTCTGGGCCTCTGGTGGGCATTGGTTACTATGACCACAGTTGGATACGGTATGTACTGTACAACCATCCCATTCCCCACACACTCCACACACTATGCCCATCAGCATCCATACCATGCAACCCATCATTCAATACCCTTTCCATTCCCTATATGTCGCCAAAACCTCCCAAATCACTGTTCGCAGTGAGAAATCTCTTTAAATCTTTTACACTTGATTTAATGCCCCAACACTTAAACAATCGGTTTGTGTGACAAAACTGACTGATCGACTCTCAAAGCCTATGTAAAGACTTTCAATCATATCGACATTCATAGCAAACCAATCGTCTCTCTATCCAAAGGCATAGCCATATCTAATATCACAATACAAGTTATACCAGCATTTTGTGGCATTAGTTTTTATCATCTCGTTTTTCCACTCAATTCTTATCAACACTTTTTATTTAGTAAATCTATTTTTAAAAACTTTGAGTAAATTACTTTTGCCAATCGATACCACTATTTCTTTGGCCAATATTTACTTTTTTTTATCTATAAACGAGTCAATCGGTCGGTCGGTCGTGTCATTAACCGAACAAAACTTTTCATAGAAAACAACAAAAATAATACACAAAATTTAAACATTTTATTATCATTTCACACACTTTCCCTACAATTTTCAATCATTAACTTCACGCCTAACAGGAGATATGGCGCCAAAGGTATACAAAAAAACTAAAATTAAAAAAACCACAATTACTAACCATATTATTTGACTGATGACCAGACATACGCCGGGATGTTTGTGGGCGCTCTGTGCGCGTTGGCCGGTGTGCTGACGATAGCACTGCCGGTGCCGGTCATAGTGTCCAACTTCGCTATGTTTTACTCACACACTCAGGCGAGAGCTAAACTGCCAAAGAAGAGACGACGAGTGGTGGCCGTCGAGCAGCCGACGCGGCCTATACCAGCATTTTGTGGCATTAGTTTTTATCATCTCGTTTTTCCACTCAATTCTTATCAACACTTTTTATTTAGTAAATCTATTTTTAAAAACTTTGAGTAAATTACTTTTGCCAATCGATACCACTATTTCTTTGGCCAATATTTACTTTTTTATCTATAAACGAGTCGATCGGTCGGTCGTGTCATTAACCGAACAAAACTTTTCATAGAAAACAACAAAAATAATGCACAAAATTTAAACATTTTATTATCATTTCACACACTTTCCCTACAATTTTCAATCATTAACTTCACGCCTAACAGGAGATATGGCGCCAAAGGTATACAAAAAAAACTAAAATTAAAAACAAAACATAATTACTAACCATATTATTTGATTGCTGGCCAGACATACGCCGGGATGTTTGTGGGCGCTCTGTGCGCGTTGGCCGGTGTGTTGACGATAGCACTGCCGGTGCCGGTCATAGTGTCCAACTTCGCTATGTTTTACTCACACACTCAGGCGAGAGCTAAACTGCCAAAGAAGAGACGACGAGTGGTGGCCGTCGAGCAGCCGACGCGGCC